TTCAAGTCTGGAACCAATAAGCTCCTCATTTCCCTTTAAAACCAAACAGTTTGGAGTGAAGTTTTTGGGGTTTTTTTGGTCTGAGCTGAGCAACTGCATTTGCACCACTGAGATCTCCTCCACCCAAATACTCCCAAACCATATAAGTATGTCAGAAGTGCCTGAGCCAAGTCACACTGGGTCACACTCTCCCCAAGGCAAGAGCCATGCCTTTGAGACTACTGAATCCCAAAAGGACAGGGAAAATTGTAGTGGAGCCCATCTCTTCAGTATTATTTATATTTATTGCCAGCGATGCAATCTGGAAGCACTATAGGCCCACAGTATGTTGGGCTGTATCTACAGAAACATAGCCAGTAAATAATTGGAAATTATTATTTCCATTTATTCTATTTATTTCTATTTATTCTGTTCTTATTGGGCCACATCTGGAATATTATGTCCAGCTTTGGGTCCCCCAATAAAAGAAAGATTTAATAAATACAGAGATGATTGTGGGGAGGAAAGTCTGGAGAATATACCCTACAAAAAGAGATGGAGGGAACTGGGTGAGTTTCACCTGGAGAGGAGAAGGTTTGGTGGGTACCTAATATCAGCTTTTCATTATGTACGGGTTGGTTCTCAAGAAGACAACGCAAGTCTCTTTAGCGAGATACATGAAAAAGGAGGGAAGAAAATGATTGTAAATTGAAAGAAAGGAGATTCTAATTTGACATAAAATATACAAGCGAGCAGCTGGGAGCACAGGGAGGGTGTACAGGCCAGTGTAGGCAGTTGACTAGAGACAGGTACCTCATTTATTCTTTACATTAGGTTTATGTCCACCATTTATCATACTCCTACACTCCAGCCCATTCAGAACAAATGTTTCTTTCCTGCCTTTCTAAAATGACACTTTCTACCAGAATTTGGTTAATATATCTTTAGATTTAAGGGAAAAAAAAGTTAAATAAGCAATTTTTAAAAATAATTAATTGGAGCAAATACTTTAGCTTCAGTTTGACCTGCAGCTGCACAAATAATAACAAAAAGCCTACACTGTAGGTTATCATAATTTAGGAACTAGACAGAACATACACTGGCACGTTTCTTCAAAGCAAGAGCTCGGTTCTTGTGCTATAGCAACGATTTAGACATTAGGAAATCCTTTGGACATGGCTTAGCTGCAGTGTTGCTGTGGGAAACTGAACAAGCAACTTACCCTCAGGAACAGAAAGACTTTGTCAGGAGACCAAAGGCAACAACTGAATCTCCATTAGGACAGACTGCAGTTCAGAGGCACAGAGATTTCTCCAGTTTCTCGGCACAGACAAACCTCCTTTACCTCAATCCCATTCTGCTCAGCAGCCTAATTTACTGTCTGTTCAAAGCATCCTCGGGAATTCTTGCCTGTCTCAAAGGAGCTCTGTGAAATTAAATTCATTAAGGTGTGTTAAATGCCATGAGATTCTCGCATGGTAAAATTTTAGAAGTGCAGAGAGCACCATCATTTAACAAAGGGCCTTCTCCATCCAACAAATGTGTGATAGACAGCTGTGTATTTTACTGAAGGAACCCTATCTGTTCCAACACTTTCGTTATGTTTATTTTTCCAGTGTTTCCTGTACTCCCCAGGCCTGTACACATTCAAACAACCCATATAACAGCCTCTGGGCTGACAAGAAGTGAAATTTTAACAAAAAACATCAGAATAAATCCTACTGCCAACAAAGAATGTCCTACAGTGGATAGGAAAAATGTTTGATGGGATTCAATAAATCTTTATATGAGTTTCTGAGACATATAGGTGTTACCTAACTGACCCCATATATCATCAAGACTCTTAAATGGTCAGAAATATACTTGGAAACCAGACTCATATGTTTGATGGCTGTACCTAATTCACTGCTTCTTGCAGAAAAGTATTAGGAAGCTCTTTTTAGTGTTATAAAACTAGATTGGCAATTTCCCACAAGTGTTTTTACTGTCCCTGATGCATAGAGAAGCAGAAGTGTCAGATGTGGCTCCAGCACCATGAGAGGAACATCAGACTCCTTTGGAACTGCCCTGGACACTCCATTTGCAGAATTTGCTGGTGCTTTCTGTCCCAACAGAGGGCCATGGCTCACATTGGACTTTCTGCTGTGCTCACATTGGGCAGCTCCTTACGAATCACTCGCTGTTCTACCAGCTGGGTGAAAGCCAGGTTTGCTTGGAAAGTGGACATTTTAGCACAGGAAAATGGCTACACTAACAAACCCAGCAGCGTGAGGGCAGATAAAGGTTTCCCATCATGCTGGAAGCTGACTATATCCACACACTTTGTTCACAGCAAGCTGTGCAAAGTGGTTGTTTTAGGTTGCAGATGCAGAACATCCAGCCTTATTTTCAAAGGTGCTAAGCATCTGCAAAACCCACTGCTTTTGACAGCAAAAAAAACCCAGGCTACTACTGCTAGTTAAGTGCCAACATATGGATTTCAGGCTCTAATTGCATGCACCCTGACTTGATTAAATTGCTGCCTGGAGCTTTGCCAAAATAGATTATTTCACTTAGCAAAAGCTGCATCTCCACTGCAATTTTGAAGCTGTAGCACACATCCCAAGGCAGCATGGAGCTGTGGTAGTCCAATCTCAGTGCACATAACTGGTTCACATTGCACTGTCCTCTACTACACTGAGCCTCACTAAGGCTCAGGGCTCCCTTGTGAAATGAGGGTGTGGTTCTGTTTCTCTGCATATGGATACTTTTGCTGCTTAGACTAAAATAAATAACAAAAACAGAAAAGCTGGTGTATTTGTTATGAGTATCTTCCTGTGAGCTGAAGGCTTCACTACATGCTGAATAGCACTGCTTTAGCTAGAAAATGGGCTTATTTCTTAGATAGTTTTTGGGGGGAAATGCAGAATGATATGTTTGCATATCCTTATTACAGTTTAGCTAGATTAAATTATTTTTTGATAGAATAAACTGAGACAAGAATAGCAATTCCAGCCCACATGGTTCTGCAAGAAATGTTGCAGAATAGCTACATCAAGGACATTCTTATTACCAAATCAAAGTGCTTTTTTTGATTGAGGACATGTGAACCTAACCATGTGGATATGTGGACAAGTAATCAAAAGTTACAAAGCCACAGAAGCTTAGCAATGCTCAGAGCATCCATTGCACCTTGGTAACAAAACAAGTTTCTCAGCCCACCCCATTGCTTTAAAGATTTTTGGTTAAATCACCACAATGGAAATTAAATCCCACATTTCCAGCATAAGGCAGCTTAATGCATGTTACCACCTAGCAGGGTGGTTAAGGATGCATCAGTTGTTTCTTGAGGGACAGTAAATTGTTCAGCCACTGCACTTTCCATCCACATGCTGATACCCACAGGCAAAACTGCAGGGCATTAGTCAGAGCTCCCTGTCAGGATACTCCTTCCAAGCACTGTAGAAGAGGCTTTATTTTGGTTTAAATGAAAATAAACCACTGTTAGTGGGTTATTTTATGAAGACATGCTTTAGCTCCCCTGATACAGGCACCTAGAGACCTGAGGTGCCAGGACATCCCTCTTCCTCATCCCTGGTGCCACAGAAGGAGAGGAAGACAAGGTTCTACTTAAGTTCCCTGTTTCAGATAGCTCAGAGGGCTGTGAAAGGCACTGTGCACATATGATTAGGCAGCAGAGTCTGGACCAGACAAGAGATTACACCAGTTTACAGCGGGAGATGAACTACACCAAAACACTGGACCAGTGTCTACACTAAAGAAAAAAAAAAAAAATCTAAATCTATAAAATTCCAAGATATATGGATTGCTGAAAAGCAATAGAATTCTTTTGGGTTTTTGATTACCAGACTGTCTATTTTGCTACTGACATCTGAGCCTCTAAAATTTGCCTTATTCCACAACAAGTTTTCAAAACAGTCCTTTGCCTTTGAATTCTTACAGATATAGTCTGTGCTTAGAGAAACATCTGGGGGAAATGTGGAAAATCAATTGATTGAGCAATTTTTAATAAGTTTCCCTTAGGAATCTCAAGTACACTATTGCTTTTCAGATGGTTTTGTCAGGCTATACTCCAAGATCAGCTTTAAATTTAATTTATTGGACACAACTTCCATACACTAAGAACAGAATTCCGAAGTCTTTCCTCTGTCATTTAAGAAGCAATCACAGGGAAAAAAAAAATGTCAAAACTTTTCTTCATTTCTTTACAGATATTATCAGGAGCTACACTTCTATGAGACTAAAAGAGTAGATTTGGGAATATTTAAGCAAGGGAGATAGCAACATATAAAAAAAACCCAAAAACCACAAAACCCAGGAGTTTGGACAACATAAATCACACAAGAACAGCAATTACAGTTTATTAGAAGTTTTTATTATTTACGAATAGCTGTAAGTCAACACGACATTGTACAGCACTTGAGAAATACAAACATGCAACAAATATGCCACCTCAGAAGGACTGCAGTCAGAACAGCTCAGAAAAAAGGCATTTAAAAGAGTGAAAATTAGGAGAGTTGGGGACTCAGAGCTTGGATAGATAAATGGGGTCAGAAATTTCAGTGAAAGGCCTGTACATGTATATGTGAGATCTGCATAAAAGAGAAATGTAGGTTTTATTAGTGCACTTGGTTATCAAATACAGGGAGTCTTGGAGAAGATGAATCACACTATAAGCAGCAAAGTCATGTAAACCCCCAGACCTTAGGAAGGAGCACAGCCTGAAGCTGAAGTTTATTATCTATTTGTGTTAAATTCTCTATTGGTTTAAACAGACTTCATTTGGCAGAAAGAAAAGGTCTATTCCAGTCCCAGTAGGACCCTGGGAGTTAACTGGGCAGCAGAGCAGCTATTCTGCCTATGCACAGTGCACTGTTCTCACAAGAGTGTGTTATCAACACCCTTAATCCGTGATTGTCAGGGTACCTCTTATTAAAAGACATTGTTTATGTCTTTCCCATTTCTCTTTAGTTTTATAAATACTGCCCTTTAAAAATCTGTGTTCTCCCCCTTCTCTCTAGGTGGCAAATTTGCTCAGACTCTTCCAGATCCCCCAGATAAGCTATGCTTCCACCAGTGCTAAACTGAGCGACAAATCACGCTACGACTATTTTGCGCGGACAGTGCCTCCTGACTTCTACCAAGCAAAAGCCATGGCTGAAATCTTACGGTACTTCAACTGGACTTACGTGTCAACAGTTGCTTCAGAAGGAGACTATGGGGAGACAGGGATCGAAGCCTTTGAGCAGGAAGCTCGCCTCCGCAACATCTGCATCGCCACCTCCGAGAAAGTGGGACGGTCCAATATCAGGAAGTCCTATGACGGCGTGATCAGAGAGCTGCTCCAGAAACCCAATGCCAGAGTGGTGGTTCTCTTCATGCGAGGAGATGACTCTCGGGAGCTCATTGCAGCCGCCAACCGCTTCAACGTTTCCTTTACCTGGATTGCCAGTGATGGATGGGGAGCACAAGAGAGCATTGTCAAGGGCAATGAGCACATAGCCTCTGGGGCAATAACCTTGGAACTTGCTTCCCATCCAGTTAAAGAGTTTGACAGGTATTTCCAAAGCCTCAGCCCTTACACTAACAGACGTAACCCCTGGTTCAAGGACTTCTGGGAGCAAAAATTCCAGTGTAATCTCCAGAACAGAAAACCACATAAAAAGGTTTGTGAGAAGCACTTCACCATCAACAGCTCCAACTATGAGCAAGAATCCAAGATCATGTTTGTTGTGAATGCTGTGTATGCAATGGCCCATGCCTTGCATAAAATGCAGCGGACTCTGTGTCCAAACACTACCAAACTCTGTGATGCCATGAAGCACCTGGATGGCAGGAAGCTGTACAAAGATTATCTCCTGAAAGTAAACTTTACAGGTAATAGCGTCTCTGTTGGTACATACAGAATGTCACTGTAATTAATGAAATATTCATTGGTCACGGTAAGAATCAAATGAATTTCCAGAAGCAGCTATTATCAAAGTTCACACCAGCGTAGTACCCAGGCAAGGCCGCTTCTGTCATAGGAAGAGAGAAGAGGAGGGACAGGGAGTGTGGTGAGAACCCTAAAAAAACCCAAGTTTGATGCTTCTCCTGTTTCCAGCACAAGAAGGAGGTGGAGGTGGCAACAGCTGGTCTAGGAAACGTTACCTACTTCCACACACCAACTTCTATTTCATTCACAGCCAGTTTGGCTTCAGCTGGGTATATCTGGATGCCAATGGTCATTTCACCACCTGCTACACAAGGCAGTCACTTATTATGCCTATGCCAAGACTTGGCCTTCTCTTCCTCATTTTTTTATGAATTTTCATATTAGTTGGACCCTGGTCAATGGTTAATGTCTTTGCAATACTAAAGCAATAATTCCTGCCATAGAACTAGATCAGTATAAAATATTTAAATATGTGGGACAGTGCTATTACCTATCTTGTAGATATTTAGGCTTGACGACAAAGTATAAAAAGCTAGATTAAATACATGCAGGAGGCTTGTGAAGAGAGAGTGGATGACCTGGCAATGAGATAAGCAAACTTAATGATGACTGGCTGCACAGCACATGACACCTCTGTTTTTGCCATAACATATGGCTGAGATTACGTTTATTATTAATATCACACCATAGCAAGGCTAAATACACCTACAGGGGAAACAAGTAAAGTGTAGAGCATCATGTCTTTTTGTTGTTACATGTCTAAATTTCTTCTGAAGCATCCAGGTTGAGCTTGCATTTCTATGTATTATTAAAGTGATATTCTCAGCTGACTGAGTTGATAGTAAGGAAACATCATGCTGTGCTTTTTATGAGAACCAGCTCCAAGAGGAATAAATACGTGTATGATACAACATGCTCAGTCCCGAGAGACCCTCAATAATGGTACGACGTTAATAACACTGGAAACTCTGTGAAACTGTCAGATTGGAGCTTGAACTTTTCCCTCCTTACAGCCACTCCTCCCCAAGCCTGTAGTGTCGCATGGGGTTGTTGTCACCCAAGTGTGACTTGACATTTGGCCTTGTTGAACCTCATACAATTGGCCTTGGCCCATTGATCCAGCCTTTCCAGATACCCTTTGAGGGTGCACTCAATCCCCTCATTCAGATCATTGATAAAAATATTAAAGAGAGCTGGCCCCAAAACTGAAACCTGGAGAAGACCACTTGTGATTGGTCACCAAGTGGATTTAACTCTGTTCACCACAACTCTCTGGGCTCGGCTGTGCAGACAGATTTTCACCCAGGAAAGAATGCATCTGTATAAGCCTTGAGCCGCCAACTTCTCTGGGAGAACACTGTGGGAGACAGTGTCAAAGGTCTTACATAAACCCGTGGGTTGCCACGGGGGGAAAAAAAATGGCCCTGAATATATTCTCCCAGCTTCCAGGAACAGGTAGGCAATGGTGCATTTCAAACACACCAGTCTGAGTGAATGATAGGGTGCATTTATACGACTGGTGTGGGACTGTGCAATTTTAGACATTTACCCTACACACTGGAATTGGTTTTGTTTAGTCTCTGATTACAGTTAATGAGAGGATCAGCATTTACAGGCTGCAGTTCAGCCCACTTGAGGTAGCCCATGTGAGATATGATTTGCCCCTACATCTCTTGCTATTGACTACAGATGGAGCATAGAGCAACTGAAATTTTTACTTGCCATTTAGCTGAAAGCCTGAAGTGAGACTCTCAGGCACAGCAATAACGGGATCCTCCCCGACCAGCTACCAGCAGGATTGGATTCGAGGACTGGCCAGGATTTGTGCACTGTCATGCTACCACTGCCACTGCCATGCTGTGTGATATTTTATTATCTCTGGGGTCCTACTTATTTCTCCTTTTTCATTAAATTGAAATAACCCCATAGAACTGCAGTGAGGCACGAAGACAGGGTGAGATTTCATTCCTTACTGTCTGTGAGATACATTGAGCATATAATTTTCTCATAAGTTAGTAAGATATATATGACAAATATTGTGATATCCTGAGTCTTTTCAGTAAGGGAGAAAAGAGATGCCTGTGCCTGATTCTCACCTCCAGCAGTAAGGTCTGAGAATGCAAAGCCCAACCCCTAGATAAACACATTCTCTCCATCTCAATGTTTGTTTGGCCTTTCAAAGAGATACAGGCTGGTTCATCTTCTTGATCTTCCCATCTTCTGTGTTCTCTCCTGAGGGCACAAGTGCAGCACTTGATGTTCTGAATCGTGATGCTCTTCTGCTGATAAAGAGATGTTGGTTCAAGAGGCTGTTAGCTTGTATTACCAGAACAGCTAAGAAGTGCTGAACAAAAGCAAAGGGCTCCCTGGGAGAAGGCACAGAATAAACTCAAATTCTCACCAGCACCCAGCCATTGCTTAGTGGAGGGCAGCATGTGGAGGGGACTCTTAAGAGGGATGTGAATGTAGGGATGAACTCCAACACAAGGCAGAGCTCCAGGTACCTGGAAGTCTCCCTCCCTCAGAGGGATGGAGGGACCAGTGCAGCAACCAGCTCTGCTAACTGGTTTAGCTCCTTTAAGACACCAGGATGACACAGAAAAACAGTGTCATCATTGCTCACAGCACTAATGCAAGCCTCACAACACTTGACATGTGCCAGGACAGTGGACATTAACATGGGTGTGGTGGTTTCACTCCTTTGGCTAGCTGCCAAACGCAGTCACTTTCCCACTCTCCCCGCTCCAGGGAGTAAGGGAGAGAACTGGAAGGGTAAAAG